CATTTTGTGAATCTAAGTTTGGCCTCATCAAGGGGCAGTATTTCAATATGAGTAGGAAAATGAGAGTACCCCTAAACATTTTTTAGGGGGGAAAGGCACTGGCCTTTTTAGAGGTTCCTATTAGGACCAAAAGGCAGGAAATAAATAATTTGATACATTTTCTACCTGTGCTTCATCTGTAGCATGCACACCTTTGGCATAGGTGAAGTAAAGTACTTTACCCTCTGACATGTACTAGGCGAGTGGTAAAAGATGCAGAATACTTTATTTTAAATATGGAGGGAGAGAAGGAGGTCTGAAGGTTTGTAAGAACCTTTTATTTTAATGTTTGAAATGGTTAAAGTTAAAATGTAGAAAACTATGTAAAACAAAAAGAAAAAAATTAAATTAAATTAAAGACGTACTAGGACTCAAATAGACAGCATGTAAAGCCAAACAAATAAAGAGGTCCCAATGGCTGTGGATCCTAAATTTATATAAGTTACTGCAATGTTGGCTAAAGTCAGGGCTTTTTTTCAGCCGGAACTCAGTTCCGTCACCTCTCAGGTGGGCACCATTGCCATTATAAGAGAACAAGGGAGGCGTTCATGATGAGTTCCAGCACCTCTTTTTCTAGAGAAATAGCACTGGCTAAAGTTAACTTTATGATCATTCATTCAAGTTCTTGGATAGAAATGGTTTCCCCCCCCAACCACTTTCTAAAAAGTCATTGTGTCCTCCACCACCCCATAATATTAAAAAGAAGAGGAGCCTGCATGCAAAATGCATGGGAGTGTTGAGATGAGGTCTTGGTTACAATAACCTATTCTCAAAAGGTAACGGAAGTGCAACTGAAGCTACAGGAACACGCAGCTTCAAGATTCCTGGTTCTGAGTGATCTAATAACTAAAGCCACCATTGACTTTAATTATTCTGGTACTATTGATCAAGCTCTGTGTCCTTTTGCTTGTAGTAGTTTTGGTGCCCCACCCCTTTTAACCATCAAGAGAGTTAGAAGAGTCCTATTTTTAAGTTCGGCTTCAGCTGCTTGATCCTTGCTGTGAGCATGAACATACAAAGAGTCTCCTGCATCAGGCCAATGGCCCATCTAGTCCAACATCCTGTTTTCACAGTGGCCAACCAGATGCCTGTGGGAAGCCTGCAAGCTGGACACGAGCGCAACAGCTCTCTGCCCACCTGCAGTTTCCAGCAACTGCTATTCCGAGGCGTCATGCCTCTGACAGAAGATGTGGAACATAGCCATCAATGGCCTTGCCCTCCATGAATGCTCTCTCACCCATCCAAGTTGGTGGCCATCACTGCTTCCTGTTGGAGCAAGTTCCATAGTTCAACTCTGCACAGCACAAGGAAGTGCTTTCTTTTATCTGCCTTCAATCTTCCAACATTCAGCTTCAACAGATGTTCATGAGTTAGGAAGATAGTCTTCTCCACTATGGTACTATGTACTATCTTTCTTTTTACATGTCAGGATTTTGTTATATATTTATAGCTCTTTGCCCATGAAACTGACCCAGGTCTGCTTCAGGTGGCAGAGGAGGATAAAAGGTGATTGTTCCCATAATGAGCAAAGCCAATTCAAGGAGAAGAGGAGCCAAATGTAGCTGATCTCTCAACTGAACCAGTGGAGCGGCCCTGCAAACCTTCTGTTCCTCCCTCTTCTACAAACTGATATATAATGGCTACTGCCAGGTGATGGTGGGCCTGCCTCCTTTTCCCCCCTCCTTAGTAGCCAGATGGAATGGCTGCTTCAGGTGACCAAAGAACAAAGTCGTCTTACTTTTTAATAGGGTGGTGATGATTATGAGCCATGACAGCAGAATATGTCTCTGGTTGTGTGATCTTGAGAACAGTCAACAGGTGATGGTTGGCACAGACTATGCCATGCTGCTCCAGCAGAGACTGAATGCTGGATCAGGACTGATTCTATGAGGCAGTTCTTAAAATCAGTTTATACTCAGAGTAGCAATCCTGAGGCCATGACCTTACAAGCGTCATTCAGTGGACAGTCTGTCCTTGCTGGCCATTTATTTCCCACAGGGGTTTATGTGCTCACTTTGCACAACAGATAGCATGATTCAGAGTTACTTGTTGCAAAGTTACTGTGACATGCATACTGTGAGATGCAGAAGTTTGCAATGAATACAAAATGAAGTTGGCAGCATGAGCAAACACGAGCGGAGTCAGCTTGAGTTCCTTTTAGTTCAGAAAGAATGGTAGGGAAACCTGATCCTGGCTGAATAAGGAGGCCAGTCTGAGGAATCTTAACATTCCTCTACCTGCATAGAACATCTCTAGTATTTGAACTCAGTGCAGACCAAACTGCTTTTGATTTTGTCAGGAGTCATTCAGTTCATTAAAATAAAAAAGGTTGGAGTATCACCTTCCATTCGTTGGCAGCAACAAAATTCATGAAGTTCAACAAATGCCTCTTCAGGTATTCAAAGTAATATGTGAGGGGTCAAACCGGATGAGGGTGCACAGAACCCAGACCACCCAACACCTCTGTGTACCAGCCCTGGCCTGCCCTCTCCTCTCCTTTGCATAGTTAGTGCAGGGGTTGAGCCGAATGGCAGTTAGACTTCTCCCCATGACTGGGCATCCTGTACAGTGGGAGTTCCTTGTCAGAGAGAGGATTTCCATTGCATTCAGCTCAACTCTGTTAGAATTGCCCTTTAGACCTTTGGCACCAAACACGTGATCAAGAGAAGAGGGGGTGTGAGGGGCGCATGCACACCTATTTCAAACGCCTAAAGAGGGGCCTAGCATCTTGAGACGAACCAGGACATAGGAAACAACTTGGTTCAAAGGTGCCATGTAGCTAGGCTCAGGGCAGCATATTTCCCAGCCATATCTTGTGTGCTGGCCCCTCCTTCCCCTCAGCAAAGTGCAGAAGAGAAATAGCAATATGCAATGGCGAAGCATCATATGGGAGGACAGTGTTGAAAACTCCTGCAAATATCTCCCCCAGCCCCAATCAGGTATTTCATTAAGCAGAGGTCCAGAACCCTGACTGTGGGCCAGGGTGAGTTCTACCTGTTGTGCCTCCATTAGAACCTGCCCCTTCCTGACACCAGTTAGGAGAGGAGAAGCAACAAGCAGTATTTCAGTACACAAAGCATTCAGGTATGCATAGCTCCAACCACAGTTCAAGTTGCATGACCTCCTGTTGTATAGACCTCTCACACATGTAAGATGTCTTAATTCAGTGGTCTACTACAAATGATTGAGAACACTCTACAAAGCTTCCCCCCCCCCTTCATAGTGTAAAAACTTCCTTTATTTAGAGATCCGATGGTGAGAACCGGAAGCATAACCTACATGTTAATAGCAGATAAATGTTGCTTCCTTTGCATTCAAAGTTACAAACAACTGTATTTAAAAGAGGGAGTGGGGATTCCTCCCCCTGCTTGATAAATAGGTAGTTACTTGGACCTGTTATTAATTAGAATGTTTTTTTTAAGGTACTAATTGTGAGCCATCTCTGCATAAAATACAAATTACATTGTGATATATTATACTGTTGGGATGCATTTTATGCATTATGCTTTGTGGAAAGTAATATACTTATTCATATTTCATACCTATATGATTAGACTGGGGAACAGCAAGTTCTGATCATCACACTTCCATGTTTATGTTGGTTTGTTTGGGTAAGCGTGACTTTCACAAAAATATGCTTCATCCTGTAAAGGGAAGATGTCTCAACTCCATTGTTCTGGAAATGTGATTTGCACTTTACTCATGTGACCGAGCAAACTGTGATTGAAATGGGAATTGGAGGGATAGGAATGCCCTGAGTTTGAGTCTGAGACTTTCTAAGCAGTCAAAGGAAATTAGCATTGATATTTTGCTACCAAATGTGCTTAGAGCTACAGACGTTGCTGTTAAAGAGCCATCTGTGTAGAAGCCTAGTTTCTTAGCTATGTTTGGGAGTCGAAAGCTCAGTTTTTCTTTCTTATCAAGACTCTCTGCACCAGAAAAGTGAGCTGGAGAAGAGATAGTCTAGTCTGTGATCAGCCAAAATTGCCCATATGGCTACACGCTGAATGTCCTTTCCTTAGGCTTCTTTTTTGTGTCCTGTACTGAGCAGCTGGATGCTAGCAAAGCAAGGGCAGGGGAACCGTGGCCCTCCAGCAGTTGCTGAACTCATAACTCTCATGAGCCCCATCCAGCAGAGCCAATAGTTAGGAATGGTGGGAGTTGTAGTCCAATAGCATTTGGAGGGCCACAGTTCCCCACGCCTTCAGAGCTAGGTCTGCAGTTAGTAATCACTGCCAGCTGCAAAGCACACTGACTCGTAAGATGGTTCTGGAGCTCCTGCAGTTTAGCAGCCATCACCAGGTTAACTCTTGCATGCGCACTGGTACATTCATCATTATCGGCATTCTGCTTGGATTTGCTGCAGTACACGGTCTTGATCAATTTTTGGGTGTTTGTTTGTGAGAGAGAGACACATTCAGCTAATTAATCTTTATAGGTTTGGAAATTTAAAAGTGACACCACCGCTTCCCTGCCTAATTTCACCTTGAAGCAAATCACACTTTGCAAGAGTACATGTCTTAACTTGCCACTTTGAGCTGTTTTATTGGGGGTATTTGTTGTTGCTGCTGCTGAACACATAGACACACATTTGAGAATGGTTGTGCTTTGAATGTCCATGCATTTCAAAGCTATTGTCTTAGAAATGTTACATGTCTTTTCTTGCAGCTCCTGAGGCGTCCTCATAGTTGGTTGCCCCATCACACGCATAGTGCCTGACCTTTGACCCATGTGGCCATTCTGGTTCTCCATAGGTCCTCTTTTTAAGATTGATTTTAGCTTTTTTTTTTGTTGAAAACTACTATTGTTGTTGTTGCTGCTGCCGCTGCTGTTCTTGTTTTTCATTATACCTGTTGAGTTCTTCTTCCCCCTGAAGTCCTGAAGAGCTCTCTCTGGCCACCGCTCACTTTTGTGTTTTTGCTTGTTTGTCTGTTTTACTCCCCAATCCCTCTTTGATACAGATCAAAGTGGTGAATGCGTTCCGTAGCTCCTTGTATGAAGGCCTCGAGAAACCCGAATCCAGAAGCTCCATTCATAACTTCATGACTCACCCAGAGTTCATCCTGGAGGAAGACGAGCCTCGGACCCCATTCCTTGATGGCACTGACGAAGACCCAGAAGCTGAAGAACTCAAAAAGCAAAATGAGGAGAGCCCAGGCGAGTCCTCACCCCTCAACAAAAATAACAATGCAGTGGACAGCGATACAGCTGAGGACACCATTCCGGAGCCAGAAAGCCCTTTACACAGCTTGGAAACATCAGTTTGACCTCTGAACTTTGATCCTCCTCTTTCTCCCCACCCTCCGCCCCCTCCATGCAACTTAGGCACCAACATCTGACCATACACTGCAGCCACTTCCTGTTAAGTGCTAATACATATATGCCTATTTCCTCCCTCTCTCCCTCCTCCACCCCCATTTAGGATTATTTAGCCGCAGGAACCACAGTACCACATGGCTAGAGATTTGCTTCCCAACCATTGTTTTCTCAACCATTATTTGAGAGAGTTTCTCAGGAGAGAAACTGCCAGCTTTGATACGTCTTGTTCCTTCAAGTTGGGTTCCGTGTGTCTGTAACAGTCACTTTCCCTTGTTGAAGTTGCATGCATGAAGAAACAAGGTTCAGATTCTCTTAAAGCAGCTGTGTGTACAACATCAGATGGTGCAGTTGTGGGGATAGCTCTATTTTATGTGCAGAATCTGAATCTTAGATGCCTCCCTGTGCCCTTGGGGAGAAGGGATGGGCGCTAAGAGGATGCCATTATTAGAGGGGGATCTGAATCAGGTATTGGACATGAAAGTGAACCCAGTCTTCCATTGGGGGGGGAGGGGAGAGGGAATGGTACCTGATTTTTACCATTTTTCTGTTTGTGTATTCTCTCTCTCTCTGTTTCCATGGTGGTATCAATCACCAGAGATAAGAGTGACTTTTAAAGTCTTAAAAATGTCTTCTAAACAATGTGGCTTGAAGAAGGCAAAGCAACAAGGAGTTATGAGAGCACCGTTTTCTCTGAGAGAATGAAACATGGCCTCTGGGGGAAATGAGTTGTATATGAATTAAGAGCAGATCACATAGGCACTCTGTGTTAGCTGAGGTGATTTCTGTTCAATTTGACTTTAGGGTTTTACTATTTTGACTCTCAGATTAATGAAGTCATTGGCCCTATAAGGTCAACATCCCAATTCCACGCCTGATAATAATAAATGATCCCAAATAATGTTGCATAAGTCCAGGCCATGGTCGCTGTATACTTTCAGAAGGCTTATTATGGGAAGAGGGGTAGCTCCTCAGACAGTGCAAAATGTAAAGAAGTTGGGCCGGGCCAGATCTAGTAATGAGCTATTACTACAGCTTCTCTTGCATTTTGTGTGTTGAAGAGTTAACAGTGTAACAGGAATGCAAAGGCCTTTGTGAAACTGCAAATGACTTGGTGCTATGGAGTTGGGCCTAGTTACATCACAAAGCACCTTCCTCAGTTATAATTTGAATGAGGCATAGCAATACGGCTTTCTCCACATTTCTTATTAGGAGTGCCTTCCCTTTTCATTTCACTGAAACTGGCCTGCATCTTTTCCCCAAAATTGATGTTGCGTCTTAAGCTGCCTAAAAACAATATATTTTTTAAAAAAATGCTGGAGAAGGTAAATCAGCTCTTGCATTGAACGAGGGTGGCGTCATCCTCATCTTAGCACACATCTCCTAGTATTAAGATGCTGGTCGGGCGACAGCCTTGCAGTGCGTAGCTATATGGGGAACTTGCTGAAACTCTTCAGAGCATATCTCAGTGAGGGCCAGTTTGTACGAGAGAGAGAGAATGTAAAGCATGGGCATCCACAGTTTTAAAAACCGAGGGCAAATCTTGGTGTGATGGGTCACCACAGAATGCTTAACCTGGGAAGTGCTGCCTGGAAGCAAAGAGAGAGCCTAGTTGCTTGTAGCTGTATCTCCTTTCTGGCCATCATCCCGACGTTCAAAAGTGTACAGCTTTCCTTTGGAAGAACGCACAGCAGAAACTCCTGTGCCTTGTCTAAGCACTGCCCAAAGCACCGCCTGCCATGTGGGGAGACGGTACTTTGCCAAGAGATAAGTGTTCCTTAAAGAAACAAGCAAAATGAAACTTAATTGAGTGTTTTGGTTTCATTTTTAAACTCAAAACCCCTTCGCCTTGCGAGTTGATTCCTGAATTCCATTGCAAGTTTGAGGTAGACCTGTGAAAACCCCTTCTCAGTAGGTCTTCTGTTCCAATGCTGGTGTAAAGAGGACTTCAGTGCTAGGCGCAAGGAGCTGCTAATATCTCGGGGGGTGGGGGTGGGGAGAAATAACCACCAGTGACCATCTTAATTGCAAATAAGGCACCATTCCATCCCCACAACCCTTGTTTTCCTTCCAGATAAATTCACTTCCATTCATCCAAACATCGGGAGGAATTTAAAGAGGGAAACTGCCATCTCTTGCTGCGTGACCTATCAAACAAGACTAAGAAAAACTTTTGTTTAGTTACGTTCTAAAGATTACATTGCTTCAAAGGTCATTTTTCTATTTTAAAAACTTGCAAAAAAAGAAGAAGTGGTGTTATGCGCTTGCATAAATATTTGTGGGAGGGGATACTGATAATTTTTTTGCTGTTGTTTCTTTGATATTTTTCCTTACCTCAAACATGTTTTGGAAGAAGAAAACGTGGCCCTCACAAAGTCACTCCCAGAGATCTGTAATTGACCGGTGTGGTGAGGGGGTCTGGCCTACATTTTAGTCCACTGTTTTTCTTTTTGTGTGTCTAGCTTCCTCGGGAGGGAGGGTGCAGGTGGGGAAATAATTATATAAATATTATGCAAAAAATATATAGTTTTCTTTAGATCAGAAACAGATATTTTTAAGTCAGCCATATGTATTTTGTTTAAAGGAAACAGAACTGCTGAGTTATGTCACTGCAGTGGAATGTAGTCACATGGCTGGCGGTTGGAATTTAGTGATGGGCCAGACTCCAGTCGGCTTCCTTTTCTCTGAACAGCCATCTTTGTACTTAAAAAAAAGAAATCAGTTGTGTTATACAGAAATGTTTTTTATATAAATTATGTTGATATGGCTGGTTGCTTAAAGTATAAGTGTTTATTGTGCATAACATTCTTAATGTAAAATAGGTTGGGTTTTAGTTTTTTTCTTTCCTATTTTAGTTTCATTGATATAACTGGCAGCAGTTGGCTGGCTTAAGTTATTCAGGAACTATTAAAAAAACCAACACATGTGGCCGAGAAAGAGTGCTGAAGATATGAGGCACGAGCCCCAATCCACAGTCATGTAGGAATACACACACACACACACATATACCCCAAAATGAATGGCCAGCATTTTGGGTTTCCACGGCATGGATCACCTGTTTTGGGGATGGAGGGGCAAGGGAGACCTCAGTTAAGTCACCACTACCACCACCTCCCCAAACAGGTGAACAGCACTGCCAAAGGTTGACTGCACCAGCCACGTCTTAGCGGAAAGATAAGTAAAACCAGTTCAACAAAGATCAGCACCTGGTGCAGGGCTGCTGTTGTTTTAAGTCCACAAGGCATCCTTTTATGTGCATTTAGATAGCATCCATGTAAGGCAATCCACGCACCGAAGCCTAGTTCTGTGTATGATCTGCCTTTCGGGGATGGGGATAGATTGCAATTTCTCTGAAACATACCATGAAGGGCGGGAAGATATTTGCTGCCAATCGAGTGATCCTTGGGGGGTGGGGATAATTCAAGGTTGTGCCATGCCAGACAGGAAATGAGGTAATATCCTGTGATGTGTGTTACTTTGCCTTGGAATGCTGTGTTGTTGTTGTTTTATAAGAGAGAAAAAAGAAACCCTGGACATAATTTTGCATCCAGTTCTTAATCGTAGGAATTTATTCTCTTTTTGTTAAATAAATTGGCAGATTGGTACCAAAGACATTACATCACTTCCTGTGTGCAATGAAGACTATCCATTTTTAGGAGTTAGAATTATGTAATTGGTTATTTTTATTGAGTCGCACAGGGATCTGACTTAATTTTTTTCAAAAGTTTTGTGCAATAAGTTTTAAGATAATATTATTTTAAAACACAAAAAGACAACTACAGAAGGAAAACAAATCTAATTGTAATTTTAGCCATGGGCAGTCATGAGCAGACATCAGTCTTGCTTAAGGGCAAATTTTGAATCACTACTAGAATTCTCTGCCTGTGTTTTCACTTGCCTCTTCTCTTCGAAATCAACTCAAGGCTCTATCGTGATGGAGCTGAAGTCCACTGAAGACTCCTAATGCCTTTAATTTTAAATGGCCCACATCCCAAGATCCCCTTCATCCACCCAGACGATCTGTGTCCACTTTACAGCATCTCCCCCTCTCCATCCCGGTCTACTCTTCCTTTTGGCTGCAAGCCTTTTGGGTGCAAGCCTTTTGGGTGCAAGCCTTTTGGGTGCAAGCCTGATCGCAGCCACAGTTTTAAAGAGGAGCAGGGAGGTCTTGGAAGCCTAATGCCAACCATCATCTTCTCTTCACACCTGCTCGAGAGGTCACCGGTCAAGGTTAACTCTGGACAAGGGCTCTTCTTCCTCAGCAGAGCACCTTGATGAGAGAAGGACAAGCTGCCTGCACCACTGAGGAGAGAATATGGCTATGACGAGAACTCTCTCTCTTTGTCTTGTCCACTCTGCCTTTAGAACACCTTCAATCGTATATTGGAAGCAGTGTAGCTTCCATGTCGGTCCTTCTCACACTCTCTGCGGTCATGGTAATAACCCTACTAACCAAAAGGGGCAAAATCTGCTAATTCATGTGCCCTGTGATGAACCCATGGCTAAGACTACTTGTTTGTTTTTTTCTGCCCATGAATAAATATATATACAGTATTGGAATAGATATTTGTGTATATATTTATTTGAATGAAAAGGCTTTTCTAAAGAAGCATGCAGATTAGAATTTACGTTTTTTCCCCTTTTTTCCAGTAACTAGTATAATAAGCACTGGTATTTTTGTATAAAAAAAGAAAAAAAGACAAAACAAAAGACTGAATATTATGTGGTATGCATGACATAAACAAATGGTGGTTTCAAAGCAATATGTACCCTGATGTGTTTGCCATATTCTAGAGTCCAGCTTAAAGTGCACCTGATCTGTAATTGCATTTTGATATTATTTAATCTCTATGTACAATGTTTTGCATGTATTTATATGGTTCGTGGGAAGAATTTTTTGTTTAGTTTGGGGGGAGGGGTAAGGAGGGAGGGATTGGAATGATTGACAATGAGCTTCTTCCAGAACATTTGAAACTCCAAGCAGAGGTAATGCTGATTGGAACCACGATGGGGAAATCAAGCCAATTTTTTTTTTTTTAAGGTGCAACAGGCGGGGAAAGGGATAAAAGTTTTGAACTAATAAAGCATTTTTTGCTGTTGAGCAAAAACAGTGCGTGAGTGCGTTGAGAGAATAAACTGTGCCCACTTGTAACCGTGATGTCTTCAATATATGTCCCACCAGTTTTTGAAGTCACTGATCATCTACTGAAGCTGAGATGAAGGAGAACCTGAAGGAATGCAAAAGTTTGGCTTGGAACAAAATTGTAGTGTGAAAACAGTTTTTTAAAAATATATATAACTAAAATTGATGTGACGTTTTCAATATCGTGTGCACAGCTGCACAAAACCTCTGCCACTTCTGTCACCTCTCTGCAAGGTCCAGAAAGAGCCATCAAATACTAGCCAATGCAGCATGCCAGCACAGAGAGAAATCCAAATAGTAATTTGTTTCAACAGGCGAAAGGCAGCATGCAGTGCTTTGCAAATGGTGGATTTTTAATCACAAGCCCACAAAGGTGGAGAAGCAACATGGATAATAAATGTTCTTAACACAAGGCAGCAACTTCCTCCAGTTACAGCAGTTAAGATCTGTAAACAAATAATAAATCAATGTTATTTCTAGCATTTCTGATCCTTTCTAAGAAAGTACCACAGGAGCAAAAATACAATGCTCGATTTCAGTAGGTTTGTTGAGTGTAAGATGAAAAGATCTGTTCATATATTACACTTGTGATTTGAGCGCTTTGAAAGCATGTTCTTGAATCAGGCATTGAATGAGCTAGATACATGCACTTATCACACCCTATGTTTCATCATAAAAAAACCGGCAAAATCTGATCATTCTCCTTGAGCCACAATACATTTTCATGATGCACATATGGTGAAATAAATGTATGTCCTTCAACTTCCATGGGGTACCTGCTAAAAGTGGGGGGGGGGGGTCTAAAACAATCTGCACCATTCAGCAAAATGAGATGCAAAATGTCTTCAGTCTATGCAGGGTATTGTGCTCCACCACATTTCTTTAATAGGAAGAATAAAAAATCTCTATTACAGCAAACGTTTGCAACTTTAACATCTTGCTTTTCTTCCCTCCTCTCTATTCTATACATGACAGCTGAGTAGTAACTCCCATTCTGCCATTAAATTTATTGGGACTTGCTTCCAGCTAAGTGATTATGGGATTGCAGCTGTACTCCCCTTCAGTGTAAGCAGGGTTACTTCATAGTGCAGTGCAATGGTTCAACAATGCAGCTAATCCTTATAGGATAGTAGCAAAAGAAGCCCCCACATTTCCAAACCTAACTAGTGAGACAGGATATAAATGTTTTAAGAATCCAGTCTGTACCCTGCTCATGCGGGAAGAGGGTTAAGCAGGAGTGAATTCTGCATCTAGGAGAATTGTGCACCGAAAGGGCAAGATTCAGTGGATCAGGCAAGCTAGAAAACTTGTCCGTTTCACTTAATTTGTACTTTATGATCAAACATTTTTCATCCCCAAAAATATTGTTGGAAGCAAATCCCCCAGCTTATTCCAAAACACATTTCTTAAGTCAACATTCTGTGTAGATAACGGAGGGGGCTTTGATCAAAAGCTCTCCATTTGGATAAGGAACAACTGCAAAAGGTTTATTTTGTTTCTAACAGTGACCTAGAAGTGAAAGTTGAGCAGGTGTTTCTCCTTCTCCGCCTTACCGCGACAAGAGGCAGCACCTGCTCAAATTCAGTTTCTTGAATGAGGGAACTGAAGCCTTGCTCCTATATTAAGTCTGGGAAATTATAATAACCCTGCTACTTTCCAATTCGTTGGTGGTTCCTGCTTACCAAACACCATTCTTGAAGTTTCTCAGCAGTGTGATTTAAATGAGACTCTGGATTTGTGAGAAAAGCCCTTGCCTATGCAGGGCTTCGCATAGCTTGTTGGCCTATTGAAAGCAGTTCTCTGCTAGGGTGGTCAATTGTGGAAACAAGGCCAGTCTCCTGCACCTTTTAGAGCAGGAATGTCATCAGGTGCTGTTTGCATGATAAGTTACACCTGATGAGCTTAGCTCTTCAACACCACTATTAAAGCTGAGGGAGCCTGGCTCTCTTTTTGGATTCTCAGCCCATGCAACAGATTCAGCAAGGGTAGCATTTACACAACACGGACTGCTGGCATTCACAGGTAGGCTCATGGTTTTAAATGTGCTGAGCACCATAGAATCCTGCCCAGGGTTGTTTTGCTTTTGTGCACACAAAGTCTCATTTAAATGGATCATTTAGCCAAAGTCTCATTTAGCCAAGATAATACTAAAACGAATGGTCAAGTAATGCTAATGGAGAAGTTTGCTGTTTTGGAGAGTAGGGAAATGTGTTAGTGTAATCTCAGGCTGGGGAGAGAAGCAAGCAGGCCTGTGAATCTCCAAAGGGCCATGATTTTCTTTGTATGTAATTGTTTGTAATAATATCCCTTTGTGATTAAAAACCTGAGCCAAATAAGTACTTGGCAGAGAGCAGGATGATTGCAGGGTCACAGCAAGGTCATCGTTGCTTCCCAAATTGCAAGTGAGATACAGATGTTATAGCTGAGCAGTTTCCTATTATGGTTGTTTTTCCTATGCTGCCATACAATGATGCCAAATTACTTGTGGTTGTTGGACTTTCCTTTAAAAGAGCAGATCAATTATTTACCTGGTCATTGTCTGAATTCTGTGGCCTGTGTGGTTCTTGTTAGCATGTGACCTGTGCTCCTTTTGTGCCATAACCTGGTAGATGTGAAAGCTGCCATTTTTGTGCCTTTCAACCAGCCCACCACTGCCCACGCTCCCTGTTCCATCATCTGCCGATGATTTGCAGCTGCTGTTTCTTGACAAATGAGTGATAGAGGAACTTTTGGAGATTTCAGGTTACAGCCACTCCCAAGTAATTCTTCATTGGCAATCCTGGGACCAAGATCTATTAGAGACCAAAAAGGAAGCCCTGTTCGGGCATTCAGTTTATTATGCACATGAGTCTTAATTCTGCCTCTCCGTCATGTCACTGTTTCCATGCATGCTGCTTTCCATGAGCCGAAGAGCAAACACATGCAGCGGGGAGCCTCCTGTGTTTGTGAAGTTTCTGCATGGGATTTAGGACCCTGAACAATCATGCACACAGGGTGGTCTTCACTGCAGAAATTCACTTTCCAACCTTTTCAGCATTCTTGGGAATGGTGACATGACTGCAGGAGCAGGGTTGGCCAGCAGGTCCCTGCCTTTTCCACACAAGATGAGACTAAACAAGGCTGCAGTAAAGGCCACAGCATCAATAGTTGGGTATATGCTACGGGCTTCATCAAACATTAGAAAGTATAGTGCAAGTTACAGATACATGTGTCCCTGCTAGTGTTGCAACATAGGTATGCATTATAGATATAACAGCTAGAGGACTCGATGGCTCGTGTTTTCTCAAACTGCCAAACGATGACAGCCTGAAATTAGATGAAAATTTCAGATGGACAAAGCCATCAAGCTGGAATTCTTGGCAGACTATCCATCTTAATGGGGTCAGCCCCGAAGTTCCTTTTGGCGGTTACACAGCAGCCTGCATAGGGGACTTTGGATTCTTTCTAGAAGCTCAAATATTACAGGTTTTGATGGGATAAATCTCATGTTAGTTCAAGTACACAGGTTTGTGAGGAATAGCCATAAGAGAACCAGAAGAGTGAGAGTGAATATAAGAGTCCCCAGTCTGAGCAGAAAAGTAGCTGGGCTTTTTTGGGGGGGGGGGTCCAGATCAGTTTCAAAGTAAACCTCTGGCACCTATGAGCAGGCAGGAGTACATCCAGCTCAATGTTTCACAGTGAATCCCCAGTGCAAGTTGCAGTTGCTGCCTTTTGTGTCGCCAGTTTGCGTGAAGTCAATGTTGCTTCCCTTGGCCTTAAATCCTATCATTCATTTTGGCCACAATACTTTTTTGTCTGAGCAGGTGTGTCCTTTCAAAAAACAGTCCAAAATCTTTAGGGAGGCTAGTTTGTTGGCTGTTTTTGGGCCTTGCCCACTTTCTGAACAAGTCTGTTGGCTTCATGATTTCTAGAAAACTGGATTGGGATTGTTTACTCAGGCTATTTGCTGCTTGTAAACAGAGAAATTGGACCCAGCAGATCACTGCCTCAATCTATTGGCAAAAAGAAAAAGGAGAAATACAGTAAAACAATTAAAAAGCGTAAACCAAGCAAAGCCTCAATAGATATCAGTGCCGAATATTTACTGCCTCTTGTCTTCTGTGTCTGTCGCCGTCATGTGGTCCTCCACAGTCCGTCGCTGACAAATCCAGCCTGTGAGTGTGAGGCCATCCGTTGTCCATGGGCAAGCATTTTTTAAAAATTAATTGTAAATAAAAAGAATAAAAAATGTGGCCCATTTCTTCTGCTTCTTGGTATGTTTTGCGTCTCCAGCTGTGTCAAGTTGTGAGCTTTGAGGGGAGGGTGGAAAGGAGTTAAAATGGAGAGATTGTTCACATGTGGTTAGTTTATGGCCTTGAATCTTGCAGTCCCAAAGAACTGAACCATGTTTGGGAAGCCTGAGGCCTTGCTTGTGGGCTCTTAAATAGTGTCCCACTTGTGCCCCCTCTTAACTCACCCAATGGTGTTGGTGCATTTGCAGATGTGAACACATCCAACTGTTTGGACTAACATAGGAAATTGTCTGGCTTAATGGCAGCGGAGCCACTCCACTATGTAGTAAATTGCTTGAGATGTTCTGCTCATTTGACCTCATACAACTAAAGCTGCAGCCAAAAACTTGGTAGTATGGTAGAGTAGGGGTGGGAGAGGTAATGCTTGCAGAATAGCCAGATGAGAAATCTAGGTAGCCTGATGGGTAATACAATTAAGTGAATAGGGAATGCATGAATTCCTTTAAATATCCACAAGTAAAAGGGTTAAAGTTATGTGGCACCATCCCAGAGTTGTCCATTGAACCTAATTGTACTTCCTCCAGGGTAAGTGTGCTTAAGTTTGCTGCCTTGCTTTCTTTTAAAGAAAGCTTACACCTTCTGGGGAAAGGGCTGGACCGTCCCCAAGGATTCAAGAGCCCCACAGGCACACTGCACTATCATTACAATCCTAGTTTTGTCTTCCTGGAGCAATGGTGGCCAGCTGTCATGGACTGGTTGGATGTGGAGGAATGGTAGGAGAAGCCATCTGGAGAATCACCAAGACTCAGAACCCAGGGACATAAAACTAGCCCCCATTTGAGGTCTTGGACTTGCCACTGAAATTTTCCACAGTGCCCATAATGTGTCAGCGCTGGGTCATTGTGAGAATTTACACTGGCCACTCCATCAGAGCACTTGCTGCTGCAAGGATCATGGGAAGACATTTTGCCAAGGACCCCTTCAAACCTTGAATTGGCCTTGCCTGCTAATAGGAGGGAGGAAACACGAGATCATGAAGGACATGTTGGACCAATATTTATCCTCCTAAAAGACAAGTGTTCATTTCCTGACTGGGCTTACCAGTGAAGCATTCAAGGTCAGGTGCTAGATAGTCTCAAAACCTAGTAATTATTTGGCCTCTTTTAATCCAATCATAGATGTAGAAGACCCAGTCTAATGCTGCCTGTTTGGAGCCTCCCCTTTTGAGGTAGGACAATCACATGTTCCCTTTACTTCAAGCAGCTCTGGCATGCATCATATGCCCAAGGCATGTTCCATCAGCCTACTGTGCTAATAGCAATTATTTGCAATCACAGTAAGGGATGGTGACTTTTATCTGCCTGGATAAATTGCAGAGAGATCATATTGCCTAGTGCAGCTTTTGCCAAGCTGGTGCACTGCAGAGGCTTTGAACTATAACTTCCATCAGTCCCAGATAGCATGTTGACATGGGGCTGATGGGAGTTAGTCCAGAATCTGGAGGGCACCAGGTTAGCTGAAGCGCAAGCAGCACTTATTTATGGACATGATCCAACCCAAATTAAGATGGATTTTAACAGGAGAGTAAAATTAGGATTGCCATACATCCGGAATTTCCAGGACATAACTGGAATGCTGCAGTCAGAAGCAGTGTCCGGGTAGAAATCGGATGTCAGGGAAATCCAGCCATATCCCCCACCCCACCCCCATGTCAGCAGTGTTTTGCCAAAAAAGCTCAACTTTTGTGTCCGGATTTTCCCTTTTTGCAATATGGCAACCCTAGTAAAATGTGTGCCAAGTGTTTTCTTTAGACTGGATTGTGTCCGTGAATTGTGCAAGAGACATTTCTGTATCCAGGAGAAATATTCTTATCTGCTCCCCCCTCCATTGATCTTTATAGGACACAGCTTGGGAGCACAGGAAGTAGTCTTAGAGAAAGGAAATAACAAAAAAGCCAGCTATGCATTCTACACTGGCTCTGGGTTGGTCTGCTGCTAGTCTTGCAGAGTTTCTCCAGGGCAACAACATGAGCTAAGTTGGAAGCCATGAAAAAGCATTTTCAGAGTCCAAATGTAACGCAATCTAGATGTTTTCAAGCTGTTGGTGTTCAAATGAAGCGAAATGGCATAGCAGGTCAAAACCATTTTCACCGGTGGTGTTATGAACACCTTTCCACCCTGTTACAAGACTAATCTACATGTAAATGACTCTTAACAAGTACATCACATGCTGGACACTAATTTTAAATTTGAGGGTACAACTCAAAAGGTGAGTTTACATTGCATTCTGTTTGATGCAATATTTTATTCCCCTGTAAACAAACCCAGATGGTATGAACCTAATCCAGTTATTTTCTGCTTCCAAATAAGTCACTTTAAGACTGCAGGCAGACTTAAATTAGTGTTTCCGATGGGGGATTTCTCTCCCAAGAAAATACTAGTTTAAAGGGGATTTTCCTCGGGATCACAGGAAAGGATTAAAGTATCCCTCTGCCTGCTGTAAGCCCAATAATTATCAGCATCCCCCCCCCGATAAACAAATGCAATTTGCATACAAAACCATAGATGCTATAACAAAATGCCACATCTGCAAAAATGTGTTGTCCTCTTATACTATTCCCATTTACATGGAGATTTGCCTGAGCATCAGTGGTCTCTCTCCTTGAGCTGGCTTTCAGATGATAGATCAGTGGTGCCGTGCATTCTTTATCTTTACTTTTAACATTAAATAGACATTTAATTTAACTTGTTAATTCCAAGCATCCTGGGGGACATACTATTCTTAATGGCCACAGTTCTAAGGAGAATCCTATTTATAGAAATAGATTTATTATGACTGCATCCTACATAATTATTTGGCAGCTTGGACCAGCTTGAGAACCTTTGCCCTGCTCTATCTTGCCTAAGCACATATACCTAAAATAATTTTTAAGTATTACCCTCCATTTCCTATTTTCCATGTGTTGGATTCTGGAATGTAAACTTGAGAGACCTCTTGTACTCTGTAAAGCATCAGGCATACTGATGATGCTGCATTAATAATCTATAATATGAGACACTAGGGAGCCTGGCAATTTCTGAATAGTTTATGAATACTGAAATATTACTCAAGCAAATACACAACATTTTTTTATTTAACTATGTACAAGCGCCACAGGGGAGCAGACTACCCCTAATTTATGAAAGGTGAAAACTCACAAGTATGTAAAAAGAGCTATAATCAAACTCTGCGGATAAAAAATGTAAAGGAAAGTGAGAATCTCACATCATAAACTTGACCTCAGAATTTGATTCTATTATCTACGATAATCCAATGACCTATTTTTAGTGCAAGACTTTTTTCTTTTTTTAAAAGAAATCTGGCTCATCAGTCCTTTTATGTTGCCAACTCAATTTGGGGCTAGTAAAAGCTGAGAAGCCATGACAGGTGGCAAATTCCTATTCTATTCTGCACAATGTTTTGGAAATAAAACACTGAAACACATTTCCGACATTAACTTTATTTAAAACACAAATACTTCTCTCTCCTGCAGACTGTTTAAAGAAATAGCAAACATATCTGATTCAGATACAATGATTTAAATAGAAAACAAAAAGATGTACAGAAAGCAATGGGGTCTGTAGTTAAAAGCCTAGAGAGGAATCTCTTGTATGGGAAAACAAAACAAACAAACAAAAATGAAGAAAAATGTCAACAGAAGGTTCTGCATAAGCAGACACAAACTATTGCAAACTATTCACAGTCTCAAATGTCTGTTACTTTTGTTCACCATCAGAAGTTCTCTGTTTTCCCACTTCTTTGGAGTAATGTGTCAACTAGCAGTTAATGCAGGGCAGCTTTTAACAAAAATTTACAAGTATGACTCTATTCAACCATATTTTGTACAGGCAAAATTTCAATGTGAACTTGCAAAGCACAGGATTGCTCCAAGTTAAAGTGAATATATTTACAACAGAATCAAGCAAATTTTTATTCTTGGTAGGAACGCAACCAGAAAGATCCTGCAGATAACAACAATAGTCAAAAGGTAATCATATGAAATATGGATGTAAGAATGATAGGGTATACAATACACCCAAATCTCCACAGAGATGCTGTAGAGTTCATGGAACACTGCCGAATAAAGATCATTGGTGGGGCTTCAAGTGCTGAACATGGGTACAAAAGTTTGCAGGTGGGCAGTTTCAGAACCACAGCTGAGAACTGTGTGGATTTGGCAGGGAAGAGTGCATATATGGGGTTTACCTGGTTTACCTGCCAAAAGGCAGCATTCCAAAGCTTTGTTTTAAATGACCGGTGCAATATCAGCAAAAAAGGCCATCAGTTCAGGAAAAAAGAACAAAACCTGAGAATAACCTCACATGCCCTTGTAGGGCATGTTTTAAAAACAATAATTATTTTTAATGAATATAGGTACACACACAAAAATTCTTAGCTTTTGCCTTATGGAGTTTATGCTTGCTAGTGGGAACTAGTCTAAATGGTACAGAATAACAGTGAGGAAGATTAAAAAAACAAATGTTCAATATTCTTTCCTTCTTCCTAAAGCCACGCTTGCCATGTGGCAGTAAGTTCGGATGGAGATTACTACATTTCTGCTCTTCCTCATTTTAAACTGTACTCCTGGCTCTAGAATCAAATTTGAAAATATAATTGCATGACTCAAAGAGCTGACACAGTAACTTGGGAATACAGAAATTACCCCTAAAAAAATCACAATGAAGAAGCCGTGAAACAGACATTGAGGTTTGCCACAAGGCTGGAAAACAAAATGTGACAGTTGAGTAACAAAAATATATACAGGAAGGTTGTTGAGTCAACAAGTGGACCCTAGTTGAAATGTTCGTGGTTTTCTCAAAGTATTTCAGGTGGGCAGGATAGTAACAAGACAGTCATATAGGAACATCTCTCTGACCAGCAGGGCAATACAGGACAGTCAAATGCAGCCAATTTCTTTCATCAGTTCAAGTGTGCTTTAAGACTTGCCATAACTTCTCACC